AGTCGGGAGTCTCCAACCTTGGCAACTTTAAGACTTGTGGACTTCAACTCCCAGAATTCCTCAGCAAAGCCGTAGTTTGAGGACCCCCGATTTAGTGCAATATAAAAAATGCAAATAATTTTTCTGCGGACCATCAAAATTTTCTTGCGGACCACCAGTTGGTGACTGCTGCCCTAGTCGGATATATTCTTGTGATTAACAAATGCAAAGGGCCCCAAGTTTGCTATTTCGAAGACAGCAAATCTCTTTTCTAGAAATGTTTCCTTGCATGAAACTTTTTACAAATCGGATAATGTGGGAGCCAACAGTCACCTCACAACAAAACGGTTTTATCCATAAACCTCTATGGCTAAGATAAAAAAATAAATAAATAAACATTTAGATTACAATCCGACATGCATCCCATGTACAATCTTGAGTTTTAATGTATTGAATAGGACTGGGGTCTCCTGTTTGAGCAGCGGGCTGGACTAGAAGACCTCTAAGGTCTCTTCCAATCCTGTTGTTATTCTGAGAAAGGAATGATGGTGTTGTGGCGCCGTTGCCTGAGCCTGGGCTATCGACAGATGCAGACTCTGAGAGTGAGGGAGAGGAGTTGGCAAGGCCTCCCTCTCCAGGACCCTCCTCTCTGGCAATGCCTCCGGAGAACACCGAAGGCCAAACGATAGGCTCAGAGCCAAGCACGTCCCCGCAGCCACAGGTGGACAGCGATGAAGAAGATAAGTGCTGGCTGGACCCGCGACAGAGACGCAGGGAGAAGCGTGCGCAGCAGAGGGGAAGGCGTGCCAGAGATTAGCTGAGTCACTGGACCACCCAGTGGTGGCCGGTTCAGTTTGTGACGAGCAAAAACTGGAAATACTCCATGTTCTCTGTGTTACTGGACTTTGCCTGCTTTATCGGACTGCATTTGGATTAATCCTTGTATTGTTGAAACTCTGCCTGTTTTATCGGAATGCTGGCAGTCTAATCTTTGTTTTGTGTGAGTAAAGTCTGAATTGGCAGCTGGCCACTGGGTTGCTGCCAACTTTATCTTCAAAGAGTTTTGTCGTGTGGCTTGTTAACTCCGGGCCGTCTGTGGGGGTGCATGTGGGGTACGGGGACAGAACAAATGGATAGAAAGGGAAAGAAGACACAGGTAAAGAGGAAGGAAGGAAGGAAAGAAGGGAGGGAGGGAGGGAGGGAGGGAAGGAAGGAGAAAGAAGGAAGGAAGGAAGGAAAGAAGGGAGGGAGGGAGGGAGGGAAGGAAGGAGAAAGAAGGAAGGAAGGAAGGAAGGAAGGAAGGAAGGAAGGAAGGAAGGAAGGAAGGAAAAGACAGAAGAAAGAAGAAAGGAAAAAGGGTTTCTTGAGTAGTTGGAGTAGGGTTGGACTAGACGACCTCCAAGATCCCTTTCAACGCTGTTATCCTGTATTCTGTACAAAAGATATCTGACAACAAGATTGGATTGAGGTTTTGTTATCTTGTATGAACAAAAGGCAAAAGTATCAACCAAGATTATCTACGGGACCGCCTGCTACCACCAATAGCCTCCCACCGGCCAGTACGCTCCCATAGAGAGGGGCTCCTCCAGGTGCCGTCGGCCAAACAATGTCGACTGGCGGCCCCTAGGGGGAGAGCCTTCTCTGTGGGGGCACCTACGATCTGGAACGAGCTCCCCCCGGAGATACGGATAATCCCGGATCTGCGCACCTTCCGTCGCACGCTTACGACTTTTTTATTTCATCAAGCTGGCCTGGCCTAAATCTTCTCCCCTTTTTAAATTGTTTTAATTTGTTTTTAAATTATGGGATATTTTAAATTTGTTCAGCTAAATTATTTAATTTGTTTTTATTCTATTTTAAATTTTTTGTATTTATGTGTTTTATCCTGTGGCTGTTCACCGCCCTGAGTCCTTCAGGAGAAGGGCAGTATAGAAATATAAATAAATAAATAAATAAATAAATAAATAAATAAATAAAGATAGATTAGTGAACACTAATCTTGTGAGAGAAATCACATTACTGGTAGATTGACAGGATGTAAAGAAAAAAAAACTTTTTGTATAAATATCTGAATTAACTTTTATTCAGGGCACCTTTGCAGAAATAAACAGCTAAAATAATTGCCTTCCTCATACTAATGAAAACTCAATCATCCAGGCCAAAGGTATCTAAAGATTAGATTAGGGCAATTGGACCAAAGTTTTTACAAAGTTTGGCCATGATTTAACCTTTTTCTAAATTGCCTTCCTCGTTCCAGCATGATTTATTATCCATTCATGCTGGGAACACAGAACCCAGCTGACACTCCAGACAGCAGCTGTTTAAATGGTGTTTTAAATAAAGGAACCAGGAAAAAAAATATATTTACTTTTCTCTTAATCAATACATTAAATCTCACCTTCTGAATTCTCACTTACGTCTCAGCTCAGTACAGTATATAGCTGTATACAGCAATAATATTTTTAATTAGATATATGTTTAAATATCATTTAAACGTTTAAATAGATGAATACCAATAAGAGTCACCTCTACATGATGGGTCGATATACAGTAAATAAAACAGATGAATTGGGGATTATATACCACTATATACATCATTACCTATTATGTATTCTATTCTTGCCTCTTGACCTCCTTTTTTCTTTGCTGTTTGTTTCTGTTTTTATCCAAGTAATAAGAATAAAAATGCTTACTAATGCAGAAGAAACTAGTTTGTTTGCCAAGCAGGAAGCAAGTTACTCATTCAAAAATAAATGTCTGAAAAACATTTTCACTGTGATTAACAAACTGTTCCTAATGTTTTTTTAAAAAAGGATAAGTGATAAAGGCTACAGAAGATGCTCTAGCTGTTGTTACCACTATTGTTAGTTGTTGTTGATGATGATGATGATTTACATATTCATTAAACATGAAACTCAGTCAACTGAACATTCAAAAATGCATCACAAATACCATTGACTACATTATACATTATTATTATTTACTTTATTCATTAAACATGAAACTCAGTCAACTGAACATTTAAAAATGTGTCACAAATACAATTGACTGGTGCTAATGGTTGATACGGGTTGCTGCCAGCGTCCTAGGTATCAACCAAGTTTCTTCTTCTTCTTCTTCTTCTTCTTCTTCTTCTTCTTCTTCTTCTTCTTCTTCTTCTTCTTCTTCTTCTTCTCCTTCTCTCCTTCTTCTTCTCCTTCTCCTTCTTCCTCTTCTTCTCCTTCTTCCTCCTCCTTCTCCTCTTCCTTCTCCACTACTACTACTACTATTTCTTTTTCTCCTCCTCCTCCTCCTCCTATTATTATCATCATCATCATCTCTTTTATTCATTAAACATGAAAACTGAACATTTTAAAATGTGTCACAAATACCATTGACTGGTGCTAATGGTTGATAGGGGTTGCTGCCAGCATCCTAGGTATCAACCAAGTACCTTAAGATTATTATTATTTACTTACTTACTTACTTTATCCATTAAACATGAAACTCAAGTCAACTGAACATTTAAAAATGTATCACAAATACCACTGACTGGTACTAATGGTTGATACAGGTTGCTGCCAGCATCCTAGGTATCAACCAAGTACCTTAAGATTATTATTATTTACTTACTTACTTACTTTATTCATTAAACATGAAACTCAAGTCAACTGAACATTTAAAAATGTATCACAAATACCACTGACTGGTACTAATGGTTGATACAGGTTGCTGCCAGCATCCTAGGTATCAACCAAGTACCTTAAGATGATGATGATGATGATGATGATGATGGACTGGGCCTGGTGGCTCAGCAGACTGATAGCATTGTGATTAACACCAGCTGTCTGCAATTAAAGTAAGATCGAATCTCGCCAGGCTTAAGGTTGACTCAGCCTTCCATCCTTTCTAAGGTAGGTTAAATGAGGACCCAGTTTGTGGGAGCAATAAGCTGACTTTGTATAAATATACAAAAGTATGAAGGTGATTGCTTAATGCATTGTAAGCCGCCCTGAGTCTCCGGAGAAGGGCGGCATATAAATCAAATTTAAAAAATAAAATGATGATTTATTAGGTTCCCCAGATGAGTGTCCTGAGCTATAAATCCCACGTCCTACCACAAAGTATGGGAGCTGTAGTCCAAAGGCATATGGGTCGCCTTTGGGTCCCATTCCCCCCTCCCCCAAAACCCCAGGAATCTCGATATCGGAGAAGCCATGAACTCTGCCCATGCTCAGAGGCTCTATGACTCAAGAGGGGCAGACATTCTAAGAGGAAGGGGAACATTTGGGGGGGGGCTTCCAAACCAGAAGGGGCATAAATGTCTACAATTAATGCGGGGGGGGGTGTCGTCATTTGTCACCCCCTATCCTTCTGGACTACAACTCCCATCGTATAGGAGGGCGCCCAGTTGGAGAAGGGTCTGCTTAGACAGACCGATGGGGGGGCTTACTCTTCCCAAAACCACAATCCCCATCATGCAACGCGGGGGCTTAACCGTCGAAGCTCGCGATGAGGCTTCGCGGGGCACGCTGGGAACGGTAGTCCTCCTCACTCCCCACTCCGTTCAGGTCGCTCCGTCCCGCTCAAATGAAGCCTCGGGGCTTCGTCTCCGTCCCCGCCGCCTCTCGAGGGAAGGGGCGTCCACTTACCCGGAGAAGCAGCGCCGCTGCTCCATCCCGCGAACGTGACTCCCCGCCCCGTCCCCATCATTCCGTTCTTGCCGTTTGCTCACGAGATCGGCGCTATATAATGACCGGACGGGCATCCCCTTTCCCTGTCGCTTGCCGTAGCGGCCATCTTGGGTGAGTAAAAGGATGGTCGTTTCCGTGGCAACGAGCCTCGCGTGCGCATGCGCGTGAAGGATCCGGGATACCTTCCCAGTTTAACGAAGTCCGGGCGGGGATGATTAAAAGCTCTAGGACACGCCCAACATGGCGACCGCGGTCTTAGTCCGCCATCTTGGATGCGGCGAAGCCATTTCTACAGCACATATATGAGGGTGACCTCTTCAAGATGGCTGCCGCGCCCCGACGGCCGCCATATTGAGTGTGGCAGGCTTCCTCTTTGCTCCAAAGTTCATTTTAAAGCCGATTTTTCTGCCTTTCGCAGCTGCTTTTCCAGCCTAGAGCGCAGCCCACCCAACTTTACCTGTTTGAAGGTGAAAGAGATGCTTGGAAAATGAGGATTCAAAGCTATTCTGCATTGCTCCAGCTGCCTGCTCCGTTTTAATTGCATTTCCTGGTCATTATAATTTTATTGTTTTATTGCATGTATCTCTGCAGCTGCATTGGGGAGTTGGGGGTTTAAAGGCTGTGGAATCTACTTTTTTTGCCTTATCTTTGAGGTTGCATTTCTCTTCCCTAGCCTCTTTGGAGCCTTTCTTCTCCAGATGTTTGGGACTCCAATACCCATCATGCAGCATGGCCTGGGATGATGGAAATCTGGGACACCTGAATAAATTAGCAAGGCTTGCCAGCCTGCTTGCAGGTAGGCCTCGATTTACGACCACAATTGGGACAGGAGCTTCCGTCCCTAAGTGAGGCCGTTGTTAAGTGAGTCATACCCTTTTTTTTTTTTTTGCTGCGGTCATTCAATGAATCACTTTAGTTGGGTAAGTGAATTTAGCTTCCCTCACTGACTTTGCTTGTTGGAAGGTTGTTTATAAGCCGTCCAGGCTCACTGAGATTAGTGGGAGGGCAGCCAAATAAATTACAACTACAATTAAGCCCAAGATTTCTGTTGTTAAGTGAGTTTTGCCCCGTTTAACGACCTTTCCTGCTGCAGTTGTTAAGTGAATCACTGCAGTTGGTAAGTTAGGAACCCGGTTGTTAAGTGAATCTGGCTTTCCCGTTGACTTTGCTTGTGGGAAGGTCACAAAAGGGGGAATCACGTGAACCAGTTGCCAAGCATGTGGATTTTGATTACATGCCCATCGGGATGATGCAACGGCCGTAAGTGTGAAAAATGGTCATAAATCACATTTCTCAGTGTCGTAACTTTGAACGGTCATTAAACAAACTGTTGTTAGTCGAGGACTACCTGTGCAAGGTTTGCCTTTGAGGCAGCTGGCCACATCGGCAAGATTTTTATAGGATTTTAAGCCTTTGGTGAAAGACATGTGAATAGAAATAGGAATAGGAATGGTACAGAATATAATATTTTGTTGGCCAATTTTGATTGGACACACAAAGAATTTGTCTCCGGTGCATAAGCTCTCAGTGTACACACATACAGTAACAAAAATGATAGGCCATAGATCAGTGATGGCTAACCTTTTTGCCATTCCGTGCCAGGAGGGGAGGCGGGGGAGGTTCGTGCGTGCGTGTGCCCACACCCATAATTCTATGCGCCCCACCCTGCGCATGTGTGCGCAACCCTCCCTTCCCCCCCGCTCCTGGCATGCGATGGCCTGGTAGGCCCGTTTTTCTTTCTCACCTGGCTCCAGTTCCTCTATCTGGGGAGGGCGAAAACAGCCTGCATCTGGGGAGGGCGAAAACAGCCTGCATCTGGGGAGGGCGAAAACAGCCTTCCCCATTCCCTTGGAGGCCTGAAACAATTCCCAACTCCCGGTTGGACAGGAAGTGAAGTTTTTTGCTGTCCCCAGCCTCCAGAGCCTCTTGAGGGGATGGGGAAGGCTGTTTTCCTCCTCCCCAGATGCATAGAGAGGATCTGGAACCAGGTGAGAAAGAAAAACGGGCCTTTCCCACCCACCCCCAAAACCCTCCGGAGGCAGGAAACAGCCTGTTTCCCTACTTCTGGTGGGCCTAGAAGGCCCGAAAATCAGCTGGCCGGTACGCACATGTGCGTCAGAGCTGAGCTAGGGTGCCCACTGATATGGCTACGTGTGCCACCTGTGGCACGTGTGCCATAGGTTCGCCATCACAGCCATAGATCATAAATCATGGTTTACATGTAATATATGATTTTATTATTTTAATTTTTTTTTTTGTCTTTTAATGACCCCATAATCCCTTGCATCGGGGTGGAGTCGGGGCAACTGAATGGAGCTGAGTGTTTACTGGCTGGATGCCTTTCCTGTCGCCAATGCAGAGTTTTGTTCAGCAGATATATTCTCATTGTGCCCAGAGAAAGAAATATCTGCCTCTACCCTAGGATCGAACTCACAGCCTCCGGTAGAAAGAAAAAAAAGGAAACATGGCTTTTTTATGATTAGAGGAAATATTCTCCTAATTATCTCCTTTATCAGAAAAATATCTCTCTGATCAGACATATATGTCTTTTCTTGGGAGAATTTCATGTTTTAAGCAAAACAGACCTAGCTGCAAAATTCCCACCTCTTTTAAACTTTGATTGATTCCAGTGTGTTACCTTTAAGGAAACATTGTATTTTATGAAAGGATACTGGGTTTCTCTGACTTCAGATCAAAGATCTGTTAAAATTAGGGGGGAGGGCAGATCAGAGGCTTTTTAACTTCTAACAAATCAATACAAGTAGTCCTCGATTTATAACAGTTCGTTTAGTGACCGAAGTTACAACAACGCTGGAAAAAATATGTATATCGTATGTATATTGTTTATGTGTGTTTATGTTTTATTAAATTTATATACCGCCCTACTCCCGAAGGACTCAGGGCGGTGAACAGGCACAGAATAAAATACATAAATACAAAAGTTAGAAACAATTTAAAACCAAATTAAATAATTTAGCCCAAGACAATTAAAAATCCCAATAATTTAAAACAAATTAAAATTTCAGTTTAAAAAATTAAAAGAAAGGGGAGAAAATTAGGCCTTGAAAATTAGGCATTGAGAGCATATGCACTGGAAATAAATTCCTTTTTTAAAAAAATATTTTTTTAAATTTTTTAAGACAAACAAACATTTAATACATCAATCCTCCCTTCCCTGTGACGCCTTGGTGTTATCTTCTCCATCTTCCATGAGTTTCTTCTATCTTCACATTCATCCAAACTATTCTAACATTTCATTTCTAAATCAATATTATAGTCATCATTTGTACACAATTATAGTATCAATCATTTATATCTCTTTTCCAACCAACTATAAAAATAATTCCATATTTTAAAATATTCTGATTCCTCCTTATCTTTAATCATCGAAGTTAATCTATTCATTTCTACACAGCCTAAATTTTTCTTATATTACTTCTTCTTCCAAAGGTATTTTCTCCGATTTCCAATTTTGAGCATACACAATTCTTGCAGCTGTTATTGTATAATCAAATATACATTTTTCTTACTAATATTTTCTGGAAAGATATCCAGTAGGAACAACTCTGGTTTAAATTCAGTACGTTGTTGTATCATTTCTTCCAGCCAGATTTTAATCTTGTACCAATAATTTTTTGCTTCGGGACAAGACCACCACATATGGTAATAAGATCCTGGTGTTTGATGACATTTCCAGCATTTAGCTGATTTATCTTTAAATATTTTTGCTAAGTTCACCGGTGGCATATGTCATCTATAAAACATCTTATATTGATTTTCCTTATATGCTGTGGACATTGTTAATTTATAGTTCCTTTCCCATAGTTGTTGTCATTTTTCAAATTCGATTGGATAACCAAAATTTTTACTCCAGGCTATCATCGTTTCTTTTACTTGCTCCTCCTCCAATTCAATATACAACAAAAAATTATTAAAATTTTTTATTAAGTTTTCCTCTGTTCCCATGAGTATCTTATCCAGTTCAGTCTTCTCCATATAAAAATCATATAGTTTAGCATAAATTCCTTGTGTGTCTAATCACACTTGGCCAATAAAGAATTCTATTCTATTCTAAACGTGTGACTTATGACATTTTTTCACATTTATGACCGTTGCAGTATCTCCATGGTCACGTGGGGATACATTCAAATGCTTGACAACGGACTCGCATTTGTGACGCTTGCAGTATCCTGGAGTCATATGATCCCTTTTTGCGACCTTCTGATAAGCGAAGGCAACGGGGAAGACAGATTCACTTAACAACCGAGTTACTAATTTACCAACTGCAATGATTCACTTAACAACGGTGACAGGAAAGGCCGTAAAAGGGGCAAAGCTCACTTAACAAATATCTCACCTCACAACAGAAAGTTTGGTTGTGGTCGTAAGTTGAGGATTACCCTATATTGCAAATAGCGATCACATGACCACTGCCCAAATTCTGATCATGTGACACCGGGAATCCTGCGAGGGACCTAAGTGCGCGGACCGATTGTATGTCCCTTTTTTCAGCGCCATCGTAACACTGAACGGCCATTAAACAAATGGTCGTATATCGAGGTCTGTCCTTGCTTAACCAAGAGTAAGGAAGGCCCACTGAACGTCTCTCCAAAGGCAGGTTTCACCAGATCAAAATAAATAAAATAAAATATCACCAATTCTGGGCTCCATTGTGGTCGTACGTCGAGGACTACCTGCATAATGATTTGATTGCTGTATTTGTTCGGTTTCCATATTCATTCAAAGTCAACCATCTTTACATTTATTTGATGGCTGGATTTTGTTCCATTTCTTATATTTATTTGATTTCTAGAGCCACCATTTCAACCCATGGCTCTGGACAGCATCCAGTTCAAAACCTAAATGGCAAATTGAAAACAATGTTGTTGTTGTTAGTTGCGAAGTCGTGTCTGACCAATCACGACTCCATGGACAACGTTTGTTGTGTCCCGTCAGCGGCCTGTGCAGCTAGTAGCTGATTCCGACAGCGAGGAGGCTGGTGTGGTGCTGCGCCAGCAGCCTGTGCAGCTGGCACCCGAGTCAGACAATGAGGAGGCTGGAGAAGATGTGGTGCCAGAGGCGGGGATTCAGCCAGGGCCTTCAGAACCTCCAGAAGCTCCCATAAGTGAAGAGGAAGAAGAGGAGGAGCCTCTTCTCAATGCATGGGCGCGCAGAGCTGCCAAAAGGCAGGAGTGGTTCCTCAGGAGGAGGTCTCCTCGAGAGTAAGGCTTGGGGCTACTTGGCCACTCCCTTAGCCTATTTAAGGAGGAACGCCGACTGAAGCAATTTGCAGGGAACAACTTCGTTCACATACCTTCGTGTCTTGTTTTGCTTATCAGCTTCCTGCAAATTGCTTCGGGGCATTCTGCCAACCACAGTAAGCTTTCAGTATTATTCTTTGAATTCTTGGCGGCTGTTAATGCAGTTAATTAACAGCCGTTGTTGTAAAAAAACTGGTTTATTTAGTAAACTAAGGTTTGAACGGACTTTGTGTGTGCTGCGTTCTTTGGGGTCCGTAGCTGGGACAGAACAACGTTCTCCCAGGCCTTCATGTCCTCTACCATCCTCTGGAGTCCATTTAAACTCACGCTTGCTGCTTCAGTGACACCTTGTTCTCTGTCGTCCCCTTCTTCTTTTGCCCTCCATCGTTCCCAGCATTCGGCTCTTCTCCAGGGAGTCCTTCCTTCTCATTAAGTGGCCAAAGCATTCGAGTTTCCTCTTCAGGATCTGGCCTTCTAAAGAGCAGTCAGGGTTGATCTCCTCTAGGACTGACCGGTTGGATGGCCTTGCAGTCCAAGGGACTCGCAGGAGTCTTCTCCAGCACCAGAGTTCAAAGGCCTCCATTCTTTGGCGCTTCCTTATGGTCCAACTTTCACAGCCATCCATTGCAACTGGGAAAACCATTGGCCTTGACTATACGCACTTTTGTTGGCAGGGTGATGTCTCTGCTTTGAAAACAACAAGGACATTTTACTCAGCTTACTGAAATTAGTATTTTTTAAGTTTAAGTAAAAATGTTTAACTAAAAATGAATAGCTTTTTAAAAGTTATCGAGGTATTAAAACGGTTAACTTTAAAGTTAAGAGATTTTAAAAGGTTTAACCTAAAATAGTATTTTTCTTTTTTCTTTTTCTTTTTTTTTTCCTAAAAAGATATGATTTAAAGAAAGTTTTAAAATGTTTAATTTAGAATTTTAAAGGGGAGGCTGATGAATAACTTTTAAAAGAGGATTTAAAGAGTGTGAGGGAGTTTTGAATCTTGTAGTAAGTTAGTATACTTTATGCTTGTTTAATATTATACCCTGTTTTTGCTCTGGGAAGTCGGGGAGGTGGGGGTTGAAGGTTGTGTGGGGATAAAATTGTCTAATTTTTTAATAAAATTAAAAGATAGATAAATGTGTTAATAGAGAAGTAAGAAATGTGGGGGAAATATAATAAAGGAAATGATAATATTAAGATATGATAAATATTGGAAGAGTAAAAAGAAGACACGAAAGATGTATTCAGAAGATATATTGAATGATTGATTATGTATCGTTTGTTTGTTTATAAAATAAAAAAAACCTTTTTAAATAAAAAAAAAAGAAAACAATAAGGACATTTTAAAAACAGCGATTTAAAAAGCATCCAAAATTCGTCCCGCTGCGGTCTCTCCAGTTGAGCAGGTGTAGGACTAACCTGGTTTCATTTTTTCCGGCAGTGGTCCAGAATCCAGGCCTCCAGGATGGCGCAGGAGAGACGGAGGTCCGTCGGGCTGCCGGCCCCGTGCATCCTTGGCATCGATCTGGGTACCACGTCCGTCAAAGTGGCCCTGGTGGAAAAAACGAACAAGGGCCCATCCCTGGTCGCCAGCTGCACCGAGCTGGTTCAGGCCGATGTGCCCATCAAAGACCCGCAGTTGCGGGTAAGGTGAATAGAGAATAGAGTTGGAAGGGACCTCGGAGGTCTTCTAGTCCAACCCCCTGCTCAAACAGGAGAACCCTGTACCGTTTCTGACAAATGGCTGTCCAGTCTCTTCTTTAAAAAACTCCAGTGATGGAGCACCCACTTCTGGTGGCAAGTTGTTCCACTGGTTAATTCTTCTGGGACCTAGATTTCCATCCCTGATCATCTTTTGATTTCTGATTCATAGTCTGGAGAATCCCATTTTCAGTTTGACGTAGAGAATCCTGTAATGACTAATTGAGAATTAATTTCATAAACCCTTCCTTCCTTCCTTCCTTCCTTCCTTCCTTCCTTCCTTCCTTCCTTCCTTCCTTCCTTCCATCCTTCTTTCTTTCTTTCCCACTTTCTCACCTTCCTTTCTTTTTTCTTCCTTTCTTTCCCACTTTCTCACCTTCCTTCCTTCCTCCTTCCTTCTTTCCTTCCTTCCCACTTTCTCACCTTCCTTTCATCTTTCTTTCTTTCTTTCCTCCCCTCTTCCCTTTTTTCCTACGTTCTTTCCTTCCTTCTTTCCTTCATTCCCACTTTCTCACCTTCTTTCTTTCTTTCTTTCTTTCTTTCTTTCTTTCTTTCTTTCTTTCTTTCTTTCTTTCTTTCATAGGAGAATGAGCAGGATGTCCACGGAATCATCGAAGCTTTGAACAGCTGTCTGATGACTCTTTCTCCGGCTTTTACCCAAAGAGTTTGCTGCATTGGCGTTTCCGGACAAATGCACGGGGTGATGTTTTGGGAAGCTGGAAAAGGTGAGATTTAGTACATAGAAGAACATGGTTAGGAGGCACCTCAGAGGTCTTCTAGTCCGACTGACTCACCAGAGTGGGGAGGAAGGGAATGCTGTGGGTCCCATCCCTGAGGGAGATACACTTGATGGGACATAGAAGAAGGGCCTTCTCCGTGGTGGCTCCCTCTCTCTCTGGAACATCATCCCCCCAGAGACTAGAACGGCCCCCAATCTGATACTCTTCCGGAAGGCACTGAAGACCTGGTTCTGCCAGCGGGCCTGGGGAACTCAGAGTGGGATGGAACCAGGGGTGGGCTTCACCCTGGTTGCTGGGTGGGTGTGGCCATGGTGGGCGTGGCCATGTCGGCCTCCTGCATCATGGCAGGGGGGCATTTTTGCTGTCCCCGGGCTCCAGAGGCTTTTCTCGAGCCTCTGGGAGGATGAAAAAGGCCTCCCCAGGCTCCGGAGGCCCTCTGGAGGCCAGAAATGGGCCCGATTCCGGCTTTCTCAGCCTTCCGGTAGGCCCGTTTTTCACCCTCCCTGAGCCTCCACGCGCGCCCTGCACCTACCTGCATCCAAAACGGGCCGCGTGGAGACTCCTGGGAGGGGTGGGGCGGGATGGGCAGGGCAGGGCCAGCCAGGAATGGGATTTGGGGCAGTGGTGAAATGTAAAATTTGTTACTACCGGTTCTGTGGGCGTGGCTTGGTGGGGGGGGTTAATATGACAGTGGGCGTGGCCAACTTTTTTTAAAAAAAAAATACCATTTTTCTACAACCTCTTCGGCTGAAGAGGTTGCAAAAAAAAAATGCTTTTAAAAGCCTCTGACGAACCCAGCTGATTTGCCTGATCAGCAGAGGTTTTCTTTTTTCTTTTTAAAGCTTCTGACGATCCCAGATGACTTGCCTGATCAGCAGAGGCTTTTTTTCCTTTTAAAAACATTTTTTCTATAACCTCTTCGGCCAAAGAGGTTGTAGAAAAAATGCTTTTAAAAGCCTCTGATGATCCCAGCTGAGCCGCGCGATCATCAGAGGCTTTTTTTTTACTTTTAAAAGCATTTTTTCGGCCAAAGAGGTTGTAGAAAAAATGCTTTTAAAAATAAAAAAAAAAGCCTCTGATGATTGCGCGTCTCAGCTGGGCAATGGGGGGGGAGGGATATTTGTTACCGGTTCTCCGAACCACCCGTCTCCATCGCTACCGGATCGGGCGATCCGGTCCGAACTGGGAGCATTTCACCCCTGGTCTTTGGGGTTCTCCAAACTGCACCGAATCTTAGCTAGAGGTTCTCCCAAACCCCTGCGAACCCCCAGCAGCCCACCCCTGGGGCTGGTGGGGTTATTTTTATTTTATCGTATAGGATTCTCTCTTTTATTGGTCTTATTGTTTTTATATGATGTTTTTATATTCTTGTAAGCTTCCTTGAGTTGCCATGTGAGAATGGGCGGCAATATAAATCTCATGAATGAATGAATGAATGAATGAATGGCTGTAAGTCGACGAGTTACCCTGTTTCCCCGAAAATAAGACCTACCCTGGTAATACGCCCAATTGGGCATTTGAGCACATGTGCTAAAATAAGCCCTCCCCAAAAATAAGCCCTCCCCAAAAATATTTAACCGCATGCACAGCTGGTCCCCGCCATTTCCTCTGGTTAGGGTTAGGGAGACAGAGCTGGAAATCAGGTAAAATGGCAAGAGGACCCCCGTCTCGCTCCATGCGCCCCCAAATAATAAGACCTTCCCAAGAGGAAAAGAAATATTTGATTATACATATTGTCACAGCTGCTAGACTCTCCTATGCCAGATATTGGAAAGAGAAAAGATGTCCAACTGAGGAACAGATAGTCAATAAAATATTGGAATGCGCAGAAATGTGCAGATTAATATATGTGTTAAACGGGAAGGAGGACTCAGAATTCTACACGATATGGGATTTGTGGTATAGATGGTTGGAAAATAAATGCAAAAGTTAACTCGTATGAGGGACAATGTTTAACTATTAATTAAATCTATATATCATAATTTAATTGTAATTAGCTTTATAAGAACCTATGTATAAATTGTATGTTATTTGTATAAAATTATTAGATACCGCACCTGTAAATATACAAAATGACTACACGTTGCCGAACCGTAAAGGTTGAATTGTAATATATTCTTTATTTAATAAAAATCCATTAAAAAAAAAAAATAAGACCTTCCCGAAAATAAGGCCAAGCGCTTATTTCGGGGGTTCAAAAAATATATATAAGACAGGGTCTTATTTTCGGGGAGACACGGTACCTGTTTAAATAACGTGCCACACAGGGGCCTTTGTGTGTCGAGGACACCGTGAAACAGCAGGATTGTGATCCGCCTGGTCCCTGATGCGCCTCCGCCTGAGCCCTCACCTGCCTCTTCCAGGTGGGAAATGGACCGAAAGTGGAAGTCGGTGGAGTTTTCAGCCGGAGAAAGTCAGTCACCTCATCACCTGGCAAGATGGCCGCTGCAGCCCCAAATTCCTCTCTTCCCTCCCTGAGCCGCGTTCGCACCTCAGCGTGTCTTCCGGCTACGGCTGCGCCACCGTCTTCTGGCTCTTGAAGAACAGGTACGGCAGCCCTTCGGACGTCGGTCGGGGCTTCCTCCATGGGTCATGTTTTTTAACCAGGGGTCTCCAATCTTGGCAACTTTAAGACTTGTGGACTTCAACTCCCAGAATTCCTCAGCCAGCAGCTGCTGGCTGAGGAATTCTGGGAGTTGAAGTCCACACGTCTTAATGTTGCCAAGATTGGAGACCCCTGTTTTTAACGGAGAATATTTGTGGCTTGGGGTCGAAATGAGGGGTCCTTGGTGCTCTGTGCGGTTAGTGTTTTTCTTGCAGACGTTTCATGGCCCAACTAGGGAACGTCATCAGTGCTAGAAGGGAGGGGGGTTTGCAAAAAGAAAGAGGAGGAGGAAAAGGAGGAGGGGGGAGGAAGAGGAGGAAAAGGAAGAAGAGGAAGAGGAGAAGGAGAAAGAGGGAGGAGGAAGAAGAGGAGGAAGAAGTGAAGGAAGAGAAGGAAGAGGAAGAAGAGGGGGAGGGGGATGAGGAAGAAGAAAAAGGAGGAAGAAGAGGAAGAGGAGAAGGAGAAAGGGGGAGGAGGAAGAAGAGGAGGAAGAGGAGGAAGAAGTGAAGGAGGAGAAGGGGATGAGGAAGAAGAGGGGGAAAAGGAAGAGGAGGTGGAGGAGGAAGAAGGGGAGGAAAAGGAAGGGGAGGGGGAGGAGGAGGAAGAGGAGGAGGAGGAGAAAGAGGAGGAGGAGGAAGAAGTGAAGGGGAAGAGGAGGGGGAGGGGGATGAGGAAGAAAAAAGGGGGAGGGGATGAGGAGGAAGAAGAGGAGGAGAGGACTGTGAGGACCTTGGTGCTCTCTGAGCTTGGGGGTTTCCTTGCAGACGTTTCATGACCCAACTAGATAACGTCATCTATTACGACCGCAACGGAGCCCCAATATTTCTGTTGTGGAGGATGACATTGGTTCAGTGAGTTTTGCTCCATTTTACAACCTTTCTTGCCACCGTTGTTATGTGAATCCCTGCAGTTAGTGATCAGTTAGTCATTCGGTTGTTAAGTGAATCGGGCTCCCCCACCGACTTTGCTTGTCAGAAGGTCGCCAAAGGAGATTCGCGTGACGCCCCCCCGACACCCCCCTCCCCCCTGCGGGACACTGCAACCGTCATAAATACGAGCCGGTTGCAGAGCATCTGAATTTCAATCACATGATCACGAGGATGCCGGAAAGGTTGTAACTGTGAAAAAGGGTCAGACGTTTTTCAGTCCCATCGTAACTTTGAATGGTCACTAAATGAACTGTTGCAAGTCGAGGAATGTGTGTGTGTGTGTGTGTGTGTGTGTGTGTGTGTGTGTATGCATAATTTTTTATGCCACTCAGTTTTTCCATAATGTATGGAAAATAATAAATGTTCTTTCTTTCTTTCTTTCTTTCTTTCTTTCTTTCTTTCTTTCTTTCTTTCTTTCTTTCTTCTTTCTTTCTTTCTTTCTTTCCTTCCTTCCTTCCTCCCTCCCTCCCTCCCTCCCTTCCTTTCTTTCCTTCCTTCCTTCTTCTTTCTTTTTTCTTCCTTCCTTCTTTCCTTCTTTCTTTCCTTCCTTCCTTCCTTTCCTTCCTTCCTTTTTCTTTCTTTCTTTCTTTTCTTCCTTTTTTCCTTCTTTCCTTCCTTCCCTCCCTTTCCTTCCTTCCTTCCTTCCTTCTTCCTTTCTTTCCTTCCTTCCTTTCTTTCTTTCTTTCCTTTTTTCCTTCCTTCCTTCCTTTCCTTCCTTCCCTCCCTCCCTCCCTCCTCCCTCCCTCCCTTCCTTCCTTCCTTCCTTCCTTCCTTCCTTCCTTCCTTTCTTTCTTTCTTTCTCTTTGTCTGTCTGAACTGCTTATCTTTCCTTACTGCCTAGGCCAGATTTCCTGGCACCCTACACCGCTGCTGGAACGATCCAGGACTACGTCGTGGCCATGCTTTGCGGCCGAGAGAAGCCACAGATGTCCGTGCAAAATGCTGCTGCCTGGGGATACTTCAGTAGCCTCGATAAATCCTGGAACACTACACTGTAAGTCCCAGCATGGCCTCAAAGGGGGCCTGGCCACCCCATTGTTCTGCCCCAGCTACGAAACCCCAAAGAACGCAGCACACACAAAGTCCGTACAAACCTTAGTTTACTAATTAAGGACTACTAATGAGCTTTCTTAGTAGTTGTTCGGACACAAACACAGTTTAAATCAGTCTTTTCTGAACAAGGGCTGTTAATTTAACTTCATTAACAGCCGACAAGAATCCAAAGAATAATAACTCAATTCTGAGGCACAGTATTTCAGATAACCATAATCTTACTGTGGTTGGCAGAATGCCCAGAAGCAATTTGCAGGAAAACTGACAAGAGAGAAACAAGAGCCGAATCAAACATTTTCTGAAATCAAGACGCGAAGTAGAGTGAACTAAAGTTGTTCCCTACAAATTGCTTCAGTCGGCGTTCCTCCTTAAATAGGCTAGGGGAGTGGCCAATTAGCCCCAAGCCTTACTCTCGAGGAGACCCTCCTCCTGAGGAGCCTCTCCTGCCTTTTGGCAGCTCTGTGCGCCTGTGCATTGAGAAGAGGCTCCTCCTCTTCTTCCTCTTCACCCATGGAAGCTTCTGGAGGTTGTGAAGGCCCTGGCTGAGTCCCTGCCTCTGGCACCACGTCTTCTCCAGCCTCCTCACTGTCTGACTCGAGTGCCAGCTGCACAGGCTGCTGGCGCAGCACCACACCAGCCTCCTCACTGTCTGAATCAGCTACTAACTGCCCAGGCCGCTGATGTTGCATAGCACCCATACACTGTTCCCTCTACCATCTGTGCACTGGGGTTTCTGCCGTCTGCATTCTGACCTAAGCGTAGTACACAAAATTGTCTTGCTATAACGTCCTACCTGTCAGTGACTACTTCAGCTTCGACCGCAATAACACACGAGCACACAATAGATAACAAACTCAAGGTAAACTGCTCCAAACTCGATTGCAGAAAATACGACTTCAGCAACAGAGTGGTCAAGGCCTGGAATGCACTACCTGACTCTGTGGTTTCTTCCCCAAACCCCCAAAACTTTAACCTTAGACTGTCTACTGTTGACCTCACCCCATTCCTAAGAGGTCTTTAAGGGGCGTGCATAAGCGTACCAGCGTGCCTACCGTCCCTATCCTACTGCCCCCATTTATTCGTACTCATTTCCTGTGTTCATGTCCAAGTTTATACTTATGCCTGTTTTCTCGTACATGTTTGACAAACTAACTAACTAAAATAAAATAAATAATATGATAAACCTGGCAACTTGAATATGGGTGGAATTCCAGAATTCCCTAGCCAGCATGCTTTCAGAGGGGTGGACTTCCACTCCCAGAATTCCTAGCCTGAATGCTTTCAGAGGGGTGGACTTCCACTCCCAGAATTCCCTAGCCTGAATGCTTTAAGAAGACTGAACTTCAGCTCCCACAATTCCCCAGCCAGCATGGCTGCCTGGGGAATTCTGGGAGCTGAAGTCCTCCCCTCTTAATGCATTCTGAATTAATGAATTCTGGGAGCTGAAGTCCTCCCCTCTTAATGTGGTTGTACGAGATGGACTGTTTGTAAACCTAAATAAATGAAATACTTTTGCCACTTAACTTAGTTGAGTAACGGGCTGGGGGAAAAGTCTCATTTTTAAAAGGAGGCTTCTCGTTTTTACTTTATTGTCTCTCTCTCTCTCTCTCTCCTTCCCGCCTTCCCGCCTGTCCAGTTCTCAACATTTAATGCTCCCTTCTTTAACATTTAAGTTAAGTTTAAGTTAAGTTTAAAAATGTTCTTTTTATTTTAAATGCATTCATTGTGGTGGGTGGCCTTAAAAATAGAATAAATACAGAAATGGAACTAATACAGCAATCAAACAAATATAGAAATGGCATAAAGAACTATAAAAATGGAGTACAGGCAGTTCTCAATTTAACCACCATTCATTTGAAGTTACAATGCCACTGAAAAACAATGACTTATGACCAGTTTTCACATTTATGACCGTTACAGCATCCCCATGATCACTTGACACTTGACAACTGACTTATATTTATGACGGTTTTGCGACCTTCTGACAAGCAGTAGTCAATGGGGAAGCCAGATTCACTTAACAACCGTGTGACTAGCTTACCAAATGCAGTGATTCGCTTAACAACGGTGGCTATAAAAGTCCTTAAATGGGGCAAAACATAACTTAACAACTGTCTCGCTTAGCAATGAAAAATTTGGGGTCAATTGTGGTCGTAAATGGAGGTCTACCTACCCGTATTATTCAGCCTGCTTCTCTTCTCATTCCTGCTTCTCTTTTTTTTAGTTTGAAAGACGCTGGCTTTCCTATCCACTTGCTTCCTGAAGTGGTCGATTCTGGAGATCTTGCTGGGGAAACCTGCCAGGCGTGGCACCGGATCGCAGCCGGGACCAAGGTTGGGGTAGCCTTGGGAGATTTCCAGTGCTCGGTTTACTCTTGCATGTCTGAAAACAGCGATGCAGGTAGGTGCCGCTGAAGCCAAGAATGGAAATGTTGGAACTTGAGCGAGGGAAGATTATTCTGCTTTGCAGGAAAAGGTAACTTACTGCAGGTTCCGAATCTCGCCAGGCTCAAGGTTGACTCAGCCTTCCATCCTTTCTAAGGTAGGTAAATGAGGACCCGGATTGTGGGGGCAATAAGCTGACTTTGTATAAATATACAAAAGTATGAAGGCTATTGCTTAACGCATTGTAAGCCGCCCTGAGTCTCCGGAGAAGGGGGGCATATAAATCAAATTAAAATTAAAATAAAATAAAAAATAAACTTTAGGCTTGTAGAGGAATTTGGCTCTGTGGGGTCCTTGGGCCTCTCTGAGCTGGGCGGTTTCCTTTGCAGACGTTTCATGACCCAATTAGCTTACTGTTGTGATTTAGGCTTCCTGAGTCATTAAAATACAGAGAGTCGTCCCAAAAACCTCTTTTATTGCAACAGCTGTGAATTACGTTCATTCACAGCTGAGTCCCAGTTAGTTGCAAAAAGTCCTTCGGGATAATCACCCACCTTTATCTCCCTTGACACTCTTCCAAAAACCTACTTGGCAAAGCTACAGCGAGTCTAGAATCAAACAGAGATGCCAACTGGAAACAGAATTAACAACGTTGCTTTCCTACAAAGAGCCCAAGAGCCTTTGCTGCTCTTTTAAGCCTTATGGGAGGGGCCAATCATCTCCAGGCCTTACTCCGAGTTGTCCCTTTAGTTTTCACTGTTCATGCCTTCTGGCAGCTTTACACATGCGCGCACTAGGAATAGTCTCCTCCTGTTCCTCTGCCTCTCTGCTGTCCGACTCTGGAGGCTCTGGAGTCCGTGCATCGCTCCCAGATGGCCCTGGCCCCATCTCTGCCTCCGACGCAGAGCCCTCGTCCGAGCCTTCCCCAGACTCCAGGACTGGCCCGTGGTCCTCCCCAGCCTCCTCACTGTCCGACTCCGCTGCCAGCTCCGCGGGCTGCTAGCAGACCACAACAGTTACATCATCAGTGCTAGAAGAGAGAAGGGTTTGTGAGAACGAGGAGAAGGAGGACAACGACGACTGTGGGGTCCTTGGTGCTCTCTGAGCTCGGTGGCTTTCTTGCAGGCATTTCATGACCCAACTAGGTAACATCATCAATGCTAGTGTCGAGCCCCACGATATGCTTGACAACGCTGACGTGCGATGCTGCAGAGGACGGGGCAACGGGGCAAAACGGCAGTCCTAGAAGAGGGGACACGATGGACGAGAATGTCCTCGCACATTGGCGGTGGTGGCACTGGGTGTTAGGCGGTCGTGTGCGGGGTGGGGCTGGCGGATACGCCGGGTGTAGGTGTGTGTGTGTGTTACCTTCTTGCTGGGGCGCAGTCGGCGAGGAGACGACGGCAGCCGGTCCCGTGATGCCTGTGGGATGCCGGATCCACGATTATGGGGCGTGGGTGTGGTTATATACATGATGCTGCTGGGGCAGGCTATTTAAATGGGCCGTTCTGATTAGCGGTAGCGCTAATTTCGAGTCTTTCTGAGATCGCAGTGTGTGCCTGGAGCTAACGCGCATTAAACCAGCATTGAAGAAAACGAACTGAGTGAAGGTTTTTGTTTTGCTGCATTTCGCCTGGGAACCCTGACAGCTAGAAGGGAGTGGGGATTATGGGGAGGAGGAGAAAGAAGAGGAGAGGACTGTGGGGTCCTTGGTGCTCTCTGAGCTTGGTTGCTTTCTTGCAGACGTTTCGTGACCCAACTAGGTAACATCATCAGTGTTAGAAGGGAGAGGCGTTTGTGACATGGAGAAAAGAGGAAGCGACGGGAAAAAATCCTAAAAGGGGGCAAAACCCACTTAACAACTGTGTCGCTTAGCAGCAGAAATGTTGGGCTCCGTTGTGGTCGTATGAGAAGGACTGTTTGTAAACCAAAATAAATGAAATACTTTTGCCACTTAACTTAGTTGAGCAACAGGCTGGGGGAAAAGTCTCTCATTTTTAAAAGGAGGCTTCTCGTTTTTACTTTATTGTCTCTCTCTCTCTCTCTCTCTCTCCTTCCCGCCTTCCCACCTGTCCAGTTCTCAATGTCGGGACGTCTGCCCAGTTGGCGGTCTCCATGCCCCCCGAGTTTCAGCCCGTGGAGTCCCCCGATCCGAATTCCCCTGTACAGTATTTCCCGTATTTCGACAACCGCTACCTGGCGGTGGCTGCTTCGCTGAACGGCGGAAATGTGATGGCGACGTTCGTGAAGATGCTGGTTGGATGGATGGCTGAGCTAGGTAGGGGGGGGCTTGCTTAGCTTAGCTCTGGGAACGCAAGCAGAAGGGGAGGGGTGGGGAAGGTTTGCTGTCCTCAGCCTTGCAATCCCTTCCTTCCTTCTTTTCCTTCTTTCCTTCCTTCTTTCCTTCCCTCTCTCCTTCTTTCCTTCCTTCCTTCCTCCCTCCTTCCATCCATCCTTTGTTCCTTTCTTCTTTCCTTCCCTCTCTCTTTCTCTCCTTCCTTCCTTCCTCCCTCCCCTTCCTTCCTTCATTCCTTCCTCCTTTCCTTCCCTCCCTCTGCCTCCCTCCCTCCCTTCCTCCCTCCCTTCTCTTCCTCCTTCTCCCTCCCTCCTTTTCTTCTTTCTTCCTTCCGTCCTTCTTCCCTACTTCCTTCCTTCCTTCCTTTCTACTTTCTCACCTTCCTTCCATCCTTCTTTCCTTCCTTCCTACTTCCTTCCTTTCCACTTTCTCACTTTCCTTCCATCCTTCTTTCCTTCCTACTTCCTTCCTTTCCACTTTCTCATTTTCCTTCCATCCTTCTTTCCTTCCTTCCTCCCTCCTTCCTCCCTCCCTCTTTCCTTTCTCTTCCTCCTCCCCCCTCCGTCCCTCCCTCCCCCATTCTGTCCTTCCTTCCTTCCTTTCCCATTCTTTCCTTCCTCCCTCCCTCCCCCATTCTACCCTTCCTTCCTTCTTTCCTCCCATCTCTTCCTCCTCTCCCCTCTCTTCCTTTCTTCCCTCTCGCCTTCCTTCCACTCTTCCTCCCTTCCTCCTTCATCTTCCCTCTCTCCTTCCTCCCTTCCCCATTCTTTCCTTCCTTCCTTTTCACTTTCTCATCTTCCTTCCTTCCTTCCATTTCTTTCCTCCTTCCCTCCCTCCTTCCTCTTCCTCCTCCCCTTTAACAAATGTCACACTCAGCAACAGAAATTTGGGGCTGTATAGTGGTCATAAATCGAGGTCTTCCCCGTTCACCTTCAATCCCTGCTCCACTGTCTCCTCCTTTTTCGCAGGGATCGAAGTCTCCGAATCGACTCTCTACCGGCCGATGATCGAAGCCGGCCTGACCTTCGCCGAGACCCGTCTTCACATCTGCCCGACCGTCTTCGGGGAAAGGCACGCGCCCACCGGTCTGGCTTCGGTGACGGCGATCGCGGCTTCCGAAATTTCCTTGGGGCAGGTGATCCGGGCTTTGTGCCGAGGGGTGATCCGAAACCTGCACTCCATGCTTCCCTCCGAGAGCTTGAAGGACGCCGGGGCGAAACGGATCGTGGCCAGCGGAAGCGGACTCTGCCGAAACGAGGTGATGAAGCAGGAAGTGGAGGCGGCCTTCGCTCTCCCCGTGGTCTACGGCAAAGTCGCCGATGCTGCCGTGGGTGCAGCTTACGTGATGCTAAAGAGGAATTACGGCAGAACAGAGCCGGAAGGGACCTCGGAGGTCTTCTAGTCCAACCCCTTGCTCGAGCAGGAGATCCTACGCCATTCCGGACAAATGGCTGTCCAATTTCTTCTTAAAAACTTCCAGTGATGAAGCACCCACAACTTCTGGTGGCAAGCTGTTCCACTGGTTAATTGTCCTCACTATCTGGAAGTTTCTCCTTAGTTCTAGGTTGCATCTCTCTCTTGATTAGTTTCCCCATAAAAGGGATCAACATTAACCTTGGGCAGGTGATCGAATTCTGAGGTCAATCAGGAATCATAGAATCTTAGACTCAAAAGGGACCCTGGAGGTCTTCTAGTCCAACCCCTTGCTCAAATCAAGAGGTCTTAGGTCATAAATTTGCAGCTGAGATTCTTGGTCTCTCTATAACTGAATCAATCAGAATACAACTGGAAGGGACCTTGGAGGTCTTCTAGTCCAGCCCCCTGCTCGAGCAAGAGATCCTAAACCATTCCAGACAAAGGATTGTCCAATCTCTTCTTAAAAACCTCCAGTGTTGGAGTACCCACAACTTCTGGTGGCAAGCAGTTCCACTGGTAAATGGTTCTCACTGTCAGGAAATTTCCAGATGGCTTCCCCTCTTGATTACAGGCAGTCCTCGACTTACAACAGCATTTAGTGACCAAAGTTACAACAGCACTAAAAAAAAAGCGACTTATGACTTACGACCATTTCAACACCACCCCGGTTACCGTGATCAAAATTCAGAATTTAATTTTTTTTTTCTAAAAAAGAAAAGTGACCAAAGGATTATACATTAAAACCGATTTGTAAAGAAAAACGATCTCCGACTTTCTTTTTGGACAGAGCTAATAATAACTGAGCCCCTTCTCTCTGAATGCACTGATGATGTTCCCTAGTTGGGTCATGAAACGTCTGCAAGAAAACAACCAAGCTCAGAAAGGACCCAGGACTCCATAGTCGTAGTCCTCCGCCACCACCTCCTCCTCTCCACAACCATCCTCCCATCTAGCACTGATATTGTTCTCTAGTTAGGTCATGAGATGTCTGCAAGAAAACCATCAAGGTCAGAGGGCACCCTTCAGTCCTCCTCCTCCTCCTCCTCCTCCTCCCTTCCCCAAAGCCCCTCTCCTCTAGCACTGATATTGTTCCCTAGTTGGGTAATGAAACGTCTACAAGAAAACAACCAAGCTCAGAAATCACTGAGAATCCCCCACAGTGCTTCCCCTCCTCCTCTCCACACACCCCACTCCCTTGTAGCACTGATGATGTTATCTAGTTGGGTAATGAAACGTCTGCAAGAAAACAAGCAGTCCGGTAGCACTAAGGACCCCATAGTTCTCCTCCTCCTCCTCCTCCTCCTCCTCCTCCTCCTCCTCCTCCTGTTCCTTCTCCACAATCCCCACTTTTTTCTAGCACTGATGATGTTACCTAGTTGGGTAATAAAACGTTTGCAAGAAAACAAGCAGTCCGATAGCACTAAGGACCCCATAGTTCTCCTCCTCCTCCTCCTCCTCTTCCTCCTCTTCCTCCTCCTCCTCCTCCTCTTGTTCCTTCTCCACAATCCCCACTTTCCCGCCACAGTTGAACCCTGAGCTACAAATCTTCTCTTCTCTTAAGGCAGAGCATCTCTGGTGTCCCATCTTCCTCTTGAAACTTATTCTTTCCTCTCTGACTAGGGAAAGGTTGTCCCAAAGGTCCTTTTTTCAAGAGGCAACTGGACTTTCTGGTTTTTCTTTGAAGACGTTTCGCTTCTCATCCCAAGAAGCTTCTTCAGCTCTGACCGGATGGTGGGGAATGGAAGGATTTACACTCCTGGTCAATTGCATCATTTTAGAGAGTCGTTGAGGCCACTTGGAGGTTTCTCTGTGTCCTCAGGGTCACCTGAGTAGTGCAAATGGGTGTGGAGCCTTCTACAACGTTGTAGAAGGCTTCCCCTGCCACACCCACTAAGACACATCCACTAAAACACACCCACAGAACCGGTAGTAAAAAATTTTGAAACCCACCACTGGTGTGGAGGCTCAGGGCAAAAAACAGGCCTACCAGAAGTTCGGGAAGGCCGGAAACAGGCCCATTTCTGGCCTCCAGAGGGCCTCCAGAGCCTGGGGAGGCCGTTTTCGCCCTTCCGGAAGCTCAAGGAAAGACTCTGGAGCCTGGGGAGGGCAAAAATACTCCCCCCACCACCGTGGTGCAGGAGCCCGACTAGCAACCAGGCCCACCCAGCAACCAGGCAGAGAACCCCTTGCTAAAATTTTTGAAGCCCACCCTTGGGCCCTCCCAACCTCCCCGGCTCTATGCCGTCCTATTTAGGCACAGTTTTGAGGCCGATGGATGTGCGGAAGGCAGGCGCGTGAGCAAAGTGCATGTGTGGAAAGCCGGGTGCACGCACGGATAGTGCGCGGGCGCGATGCAAGCGTCCGCCTGCGCGGCGAACTGGTAGCAACAAAACATGAAACCCATCAGTGAAGTAAACGGATGACATTTTTTCTGGAACTCAGCATGGGAAAAACAGAGGGAGGCGGAAGGACGTGTCTGACTTGATTTGCCTCATCCGTTTTCCAGTAAATTTGGAGGACTTGAGGTAAATTGCAGAGTCGTTCAACAGCTCTGAGCAATTAGCCCGGTCCTTAAAAGCTGCTCAATTTCTTTCCTGGACTTAATTGTGGGAAATTGAACAAAAGAAAGCATCTCGCTGTTTGTTTCTTTAGCAAAAAAAATAATAATAAAACCCCAACCCAGTCTCCATTTAATCGATTGGGCTTTTTGGAGCCAATGGATGGATTGGAAGCATTTGGCTGGGCCATTGCCCAAAATGGCGGCCGTGGAGAATCCGAGGGGGTCAAAAAAAGTCAAAATGGTGGCTGCAACAACACGATCGAAGCCGTGCCCCTCTTTAACCCTTTCTCTCTCCCCCCCGGGTCAGAAAACAGGAATAGAATAGAATAGAATAGAATAGAATAGAATAGAATAGAATAGAATAGAATAGAATAGAATAGAATAAGAATTAAATGGAATAGAAGTAAATAGAATAAGAATTAAATAGAATAGAAGAGAATAGAATAGAAGAGAATAGAATAGAATAGAATAGAAGTAAGAATTAAATAGAAGTAAGAATTAAATAGAATAGAATAGAATTAGAATAGAATATAATGGAATAGAAGTAAGAAATAGAATAAGAATTAAATAGAACAGAATAGATTAGAATAGAATAGATTAGAATAGAATAGAATAGAATAGAATAGAATAGAATAGAATAGAATAGAAGTAAGAAATAGAATAGAATAGAAGTAAGAATTAAATAGAATAGATTAGATTAGAATAGAATGGAATAGAAGTAAGAAATAGAATGGAATGGAATAGAATAGAATAGAATGGAATAGAATAGAATAGAATAAGAATTAAATGGAATAGAAGTAAATAGAATAAGAATTAAATAGAACAGAATAGATTAGAATAGAATGGAATAGAATAGAATAGAATAGAAGTAAGAATTAAATAGAAGTAAGAATTAAATAGAATAGAATAGAATTAGAATAGAATAGAATGGAATAGAAGTAAGAAATAGAATAAGAATTAAATAGAATAGAATAGATTAGAATAGAATAGAATAGATTAGAATAGAATAGAATAGAATAGAAGTAAGAAATAGAATAGAATAGAAGTAAGAATTAAATAGAATAGAATAGATTAGAATAGAATAGAATGGAATAGAAGTAAGAAATAGAATAGAATAGAATAGAATAGAATAGAATAGAATAGAATAGAATAGAATAGAATAGAATTCTTTATTTGCCAAGTGTTATTGGACACACAAGGAATTTATCTTGGTGCATACGCTCTCGGTGTACATAAAAGTGGCCAGCTCAAATGCACCCATTGCTGAGAAGGCAAAACTGATTGGGTACCCATCACTGTTTTTAAAAGTAAGGAATAGTATATAATACCTTGAAGGAGATTAATCTGAAACAGATTTATACGCAAGAGACCGCAATGTTAGATTCCCTGATGATATTTTCAGGGCATCGGGAGGGAGCTCAACCAATCTCATTTTACATATGTTGTGCACTGACAATCAAGATTTGAACTGAATTGAATTTTCCAAATACAAGCTAGCATTGACTTACAACCGTTCGTTTAGTGACTGTTTGAAGTTACGACAGCAGTAAAAAAAAGTGACTTAGAATATAGAAAATAGAGTAACAGAGTTGGAAGGGACCTTGGAGGTCTTCTAGTCCAGCCCCCTGCTGAGGAAGGAAATCCTACACCATTTCAGACAAATGGCTGTCCAATCTCTTCTTAAAAGCCTCCAGAGATGGGGAAGGAATGAATGAAGGAAGGAAGGAAGGAAGGAAGGAAGGAAGGAAGGAAGGAAGGAAGGAAGAAGGAAGGAAGGAAGGAAGGAAGGAAGGAAGGAAGGAGAGGGAGGGAGGGAGGAGGGAGGAAGGAAGGGAGGAAGAGAAGAAGGAAGGAAGGGAAGGAAGGAAGGGAGGGAGGGAGGGAAGGAGGAAGGAAGGAGAGGGAGGGAGGAAGGAAGGAAGGGAAGGGAGGAAGGAAGGGAGGGAGGGAGGGAAGGAGGAAGGAAGGAGAGGGAGGGAGGAAGGAAGGAAGGGAAGGAAGGAAGGGAGGGAGGGAGGGAGGGAAGGAGGAAGGAAGGAGAGGGAGGGAGGAAGGAAGGAAGGAAGGGAAGGAAGGAGAGGGAGGGAGGGAGGAAGGAAGGAAGGAAAGAAGGAAGGGCAGGAAGGAAGGAGAGGGAGGGAGGGAGGGAAGGAGGAAGGAAGGAAGGAAGGAAGGAAGGAAGGAAGGAAGGAAGGAAGGAAGGATAGCAGAATAGCAGAGTTGGAGGGACCTTGGAGGTCTTCTATTCCAACCCCCTGTTCAGGCAGGAAACCCTACAAATGGTTATCCAATCTCCTTAAAAACATCCAGTATTGAAGCATTCACAACTTCTGGAGACCTGTGACCATTTATCACACTTACGACCGTTGCTACATCTCTGTGGCCAAGTTCAAAATCCAGATGCTTGGCAACTGGCATGTACTTATCACGCTTGTATTGTCCTGAGCTCACGTGATCCCCTTTTGCAACCTCCTGACAAGCCAAATCAATGGGGAAGCCAGATTCGCTTAATAACCGTGTTCCTAAGTTAAACCCCTGCAGTGATTCACTTAACGACAATGGCAAGAAAGGCCGTAAAATGGGGCAAAACTCATTTTAACGAATATCTCGTTTAGCAGCAGAAATCCGAGGCTCAATTGTGGTCGTAAAGTTGAGGACTCCCTGTATTTTTTTTTTTTAATTTGATTTATATGCCGCCCTTCTCCGGAGACTCAGGGCGGCTTACAATGCATTAAGCAATAGCCTTCATACTTTTGTATATTTATACAAAGTCAGCTTATTGCCCCCACAATCTGGCTCCTCATTTTAACTACCTTAGAAAGGATGGAAGGCTGAGTCAACCTTGAGCCTGGTGAGATTCGAACTTACAGTAATTGCAGACAGCTGGATGTTAATTACAATGCTTTCAGTCTGCTGAGCTATCCAGGCTCCTGTATAAGAAATGAATTTGGAGGGTCCTGGCTGCTTTCTCATTCGCTCCAATTTCCGATGAAAACTCAGTGCCTAACAATGCGGCATTTCCACCTGGTGCTCTGTTTTCGAAAGAAATCTGTTTGTATTGCCGTGCTCATTGTGTGTGTGTCTGTGTGTGTTTAATTCCTTGGAGAGTTTTTATGGCCAGTTTTTTTTATTTCCCAGCAACGTTTTGCAGTGAAATCTGGAGACAGTAAAAAAAAAGGTCTTTGCTGATATTGTAGCGTCCTT